GGGGCGCGGCAGGGCCCGCTCGGGCCTGTCCGGTCGGCGTGAGGGGTGCCTGGGCACTGGGGCCCGCCGGGGCTCCGACCCATCCCTTGGGCCTGTCCAATGTGGGGCTGCGACTTCCACCCCTCGTTCCAGGCATGGCTGGCTTTCTCCCGGCCGTGCTAAGCAAGTTATCTGCTAGAGAAAGGGGGAACCCCAAACCTTAAATTGCCGTTAAACTGTTCCAGCAGGAAAATTACACGACAGGACGTTTAAGATGCCGTATGAGGAATGATAACAGAGTAAAATGTAGTGATAGAGTAAAACCTACCAGGCTTCTTGGCCCCAGCTCGTTTGCATTGTAATTAAAAATCCTCTCTGTGCAAGTAGCAGCAAGTCAGAGGCCATGCACGTAAAGAAAATGGGATTTTAGCTCAAGACTTAAATTATTGCCTCTTCATTTGCTTAAAAGGCTAAAGAGAGTATCTATACAGTTTAAGAAAACCCACAAAACCAGACCTGTTTATGGGAGCCTGCTACATACACAAGCTTAGGGGTTTTATTAAATAACTTTTATAAGCATTTTCTGGGCAAGGGAGTGAAAATACCTATTCATTAATCATAGCCCTATGACAGAACAAACAAGAGAACTAAGTAACTAGCAAACTCTTTAGGTGTTCAGTGCATTTCAGTGCTTTGCAAACTGGAACTATGTGAGCCCAGGCTCAGCTGTGCTAATACAGGCAGAATCTCAAGTAATGTCAAATGACAAGGTTAGTTCGGTGATAATAAATAAGAGGAACGCTCTAACAGCCCGGCTTTAACTCTGGAACTAGAAAAAGCCTTCAAGGTGTAGAATCAACCACCTGTGTTTATCTTGCAGCACTAAAGTATATGACTTTAATAACTGGAAAATGATTTCGTTTAGAACAAGCACAATTTATTTATAAACAGGTTTGAGTACTTCTTTTCCAGCATGTTTATGCTGCTTGTAAAGTCCCGTTATCTTTCCCACCACAAGGAAACCAGTTCTTCTTTCTCCACAACTACTCTGTCATTTGAAAATGCTGTTAATTATATATATCAAATAGAGGAACTCAGCTACTACCAAGTTGGGAGGAATGGGATACATTAAGCTACAGAACAATGCAGCTTCTCATATTCCTAGCATTTGGCAGTCCTACTTAAGTCGTTGCCCTTTTAACCACAAGTTGTACTTAAAATTTGATAAGCTTAGTAATGCTTGGGTTTAATCTCTTGATTCACTTGTCCAAACTACTGTTCTGGTAACAGGATTATTTGTGCAGTCTCTGTATTTATTCACATCACATAGTAGCAATTATAATTTATTTTGGAAACCTCTGGTCAGAACTTTTTTTTAATAGAATGATTAGTAGGGTAGAACTGGTTTGCTGTCATGTTCCTTACCCCACTGACAGGTATTTACTTGAATTTGGAGGGAGGGCAAGAAGCAAACAACTGAAACTTTAAGTGGAGACCAAATGTGAAAAGTCAGTTCCAAAAATATTAAACAAAGGTAAAAGAAGGAGCTGAGTTAGCAATTGCTTTGAGACTTGGTAGGATTTAATGAGCATATCTGAAATCTTAGTGATTTCTTTGACCGGTCTTGTGCTAAGCACTCTAAGAAGGGGAAACAGGAATAATTAAAATACATAGCCATAGACACAATGTTTTTACACTTGTCATTTTTTTCAACAGTCAGCTAGACTAGACTGATATCTGCTGTCATGCTTATATATCTTCCTCTTGGGGTGGACATGAATGAAAATGGAGAAAAAAACAGCAATAGTGTACAAGGGACTTAAAGTTATGGTATAGGGTAAACGCAACATGGTGAGGGTTTTCAAAAGGAAATCATAGGACACCACATTTTAGGCACATAAATTAAAAAATGATCCTCTCAGTGCTTAAAAGTTACTGAAAGTCATTGAAACCTCATTGCTCACTGAAGAGTCTTGTACTTATCTGCGCTCAGAGTGCTGTCTGTCTAAAGTCTCATCTGAGAAAACCAGCTTGTTTCAGCAAGTGCCGCCTCTTCTGTATTGTTGTGGACTTAGTCTGTCCTGTCCTAAAGTCATAAGCCTCTAAAAGCAAGGGATTCCCAATTCTGGGAGTTCTTTTGCAGCAGCAATTTACAGGATCATATCTATTGAATTAGTGTTAGTGAAAGACTATTAGACAATAGAGAAGATTAGATTAATATTCTCTTGTGTTTATTACTCCTACAAATTACAGAGCAGCATATTCTTTGGCAAATGACATATCAAATATGTGAAACATATTTCTTTGCTTCTTTTTGGAAAGTGAGAAATAATATTGATCTTAAAACACTTCAAGTTCATTAGTATTTGACCTTTGGTGACAGCTACTGAATTTAGTCAGGGACCAGCACTATAAAACACTTGCTAGCATATACTTTGTTCACGAAGGCAAGGCAGATCCCAAATCTGGAACAGTGAAGTCCTTTGCTTACTAGCTCTTTCATTGCTCTGGTAAACCTTCATTAGTGTCCAGGCAGATGCAACTTCAGTTCCTGTAGTGCATCAGCTGTAGAAACAGCAGACCAGGAGTATAGGAAGGATCCTTTTGTATAGTGTGCTGATTAAAACTCTTGAGACCCTGCTCTCTGTCGTGACCTCAAATCACAATGGAAGACTGCTTGCTTGGAGAGAGTAAGACTGTTACCAGTGCAAAAATCCTGAAGGTAAAAGCAATGAGGGAGGAAGGAAAGAATGTTTGACCTTGGGCTTGAAAGTGGATATCTAAGTTGTCATGCTGCTACTGCTCTGAAGCCTCTCTCAGTGTCTTGTCATAGCTGCTTTACTTTTCCCTTCTCAAGTTCGTTGAAATGAGTAGTGTTTTCTCATGCTGGTGTTGCTTTTTATCCTGGTATGTCATTACAATGGCATAGACATTCACTTCAAAATCACATGTGTTGAGAATTTCAGGGTTTATGTGCTAAACACATTTCAACACATTTCAGGGTTTATCTAAGTGCTAGGCTTCTTTCCATAAACATGACACAGTCCTGTTTTACATTTGGCCTGCATGTTAAGAAGGACTTTAATGGACTGTGCTGCCAGGCAGGAAGAGGACAGTTTTGTGGATCATCTTTTACAGTACTGAGGAAAAGAAGGGTGATACCATGATAACAGTCTTCAGTACTGACTTGAACCATGAATTTGTCATTTGCAGAGTGGCTTGCTAACCTACCTGTAGGTTTGGCTTTTAATTTATACAAGGTGTGCTGTGTTGCTAAAAGCACCGTCACCTCTCTACCCTCATAAGCTAATAGACATTGAAGTGTCATGTGGAGTCCTTTGTGTTTGTGTAGGGATGAGAACACCCTTAAGAGACTCAGGCAAACAACAGCCAACAGTTAAGATAGAGCTCAGTGCTGAAGAGAATGGAATTAAGTAATTTGAATTTGCATGAAGAACTTCATCAGTTTAGAGAATATACAGTCACAGTTCCAACCTTTGTTTTTGACTGATAGCTGATACTTATTAAAATTTTGGCTTTCAGTAGAGCTCTTACTGTAAGAAGCTGCTTTTGGGTCTGCATAGAGTCATTTCTACATAAATTAGCTAAAATATAAAGTGAAAGATATCAAAAGAGTAGCTGGTGAAAGACAAGCAGGTATCACTTGCTTTGACTTGACTCTCAGTAGCTGGCCAGTCTCTTTCTGATGACAGTGTATCTGTTTCTTATTTTTTTTTGACTTGTTACTGTGGGACTAAACATTAAGACAGCCTCTCCTTGAAAATATAATTGTGGCCTATGGTCTGTGGCCTCAGCTTCTTGAAATTCTCTGGGCATTCCTGTTTCAGTGATGTTCCCGATACTTTCCAGGACATATCTTTGGGATTGGTCTCTGTCTAACACAAGTCAAGTTTGAAGACTAACCTGTTCGATACTCTACTGTTTGTTTCTGGCTCCAGAGACTGTCTCTTCCCATGCAGCAGAACTGGTAAAGAATCTCCAGAGTCAATGTAATTGCTGAATTCTGAGTTATCAGCTGTGAAAATAAACAGTCTTGTGAATTGCCTTACATCTGCTTCAGAAAGGTACAGATGGTTTCAAAAACACAGAGCAACTTATAGTTGTAGGATGGTATGAGCCAGCAGCATGCCCAGGTAGCCAAGAAGGCCAATGGCATCCTGGCTTGTATCAGAAATAGTGTGGCCAGCAGGGACAGGGAAGGGATCTTACCCCTGTACTCGGCACTGGTGAGGCCGCCCCTCGATTCCTGTGTTCAGTTTTGGGCCCCTCACTACAAAAAGGACATTGAATGACTCGAGCGTGTCCAGAGAAGGGCAACGGAGCTGGTGCAGGGTCTGGAGCACAGGTCGTACGGGGAGCGGCTGAGGGAACTGGGGGTGTTTAGTCTGGAGAAGAGGAGGCTGAGGGGAGACCTCATTGCCCTCTACAGCTCCCTGAAAGGAGGTTGCAGAGAGCTGGGGATGAGCCTCTAACCAAGTAACAAGCGATAGGACAAGAGGGAATGGCCTCAAGTTGGACCAGTGAAGGTTTAGACTGGATATTAGGAAGCATTTTTTTACAGAAGGGGGTTGTTAGGCGTTGGAATGGGCTGCCCAGAGAGGTGGTGGAGTCCCCATCCCTGGAGGTGTTCAAGAGTCAGGTAGACATAGCACTGAGGGATATGGTGTAGTTGGGAACTGTCAATGTTGGGTTAATGTTTGGACTAGATGATCTTCAAGGTCTTTTCCAACCTAGATGACGCTGTGATTGTGTATCATTGCATTAGTTTGAGTGAAGCTTTTCTCCCATCCCTGCCCACACAGTCCAGAGATCTGTGACTTTTTTTCCTTTGTGACAGTATCTTGTGTCTCGTGCCCTAGAACCACGGTTATGTTGATTTTTCAGTGTAAAAGCTTTTGGCAGTCTTTTGGCAATAACAAGTCACTTTGATTACACACTGGTATAATTTGTGGCTTTCCAGAGACTCCCATATTGAAACTGTGTAAAGAAATCATTGGCTAGTGAGGACAAAACTCTTTATCAGCAGTTAGCATGATACAAATATTAAATAATAAGCATGATAAATAATATCCTTGTACTTCCCATTCCTGTTTGTTTCTAATTTCCTTTCTTGGAGGTTACAGCTATCATGTTCCTGTTTCATTTGGATGAACCCAACTGGTTATGAGTCTCCCTTGGACCAGTATGTCTATTTTGGATGCCGTATCACGGAGTTTCAAGCTGTATTGAGATGCCACTTGCTGTTTAGTTGCCAGTCTCTTTTAACTATGTTTAATTCTGATGTGAGACATTTTTGGTGTGTCAATCTTATCCTAGTTGTATTCATCACTTGACAGGTGCCCTGCTTTTGGTTATGGTGCACCTGTTTGAAACATCTGTTCTGCCCTGGAGTTCAGAGTAGCTTTGGAGGGATCCAACTCTTTGCTGAGTCAGGTTAGATACTCAATTTGGAAATTTTTTTCAGTGACAAATATTTTTCCTCTCTTCTAAAGTACGTTCCAAGTAATTTCTTCCCATAAGGTCAGAAAGTGTATTTGCATTCCTATTGACGGGGTGTTCTAGAATAGTGACAATGGAAAAGACAAACAGATGCTGCTGCCTGGGAAACTCAGCATTTAGTGTAACTGAAAACTTTTAAGTGTCTTGGTATTAATTGTTAATTACTTAGGTATGAGGAAGGAGCAACAGAGATTAGTCTATTGCAGTGACTCTTAGCAAATTTTGTCAGTTGTTGTGCATAGGGACTGCTGGACATGCAGGTGTGGAAAGACTACTGAAAGTTCTTGCAGTGCCTTTAGCATTTATACAGTTGTGGTGCATTCCCAGATAAATGCAGTAAGTGTGGCTTTCATGTCAAGGGCTATAGAAAGCTTGAAGAACATAAAACTAGTCTCACAAAGCATTTTTATTACATGGTGTATTTTCAGAAAATTCAAATTGTTAAGAAAAAACCCGCTGTGCTTATTAGCATAAATGTGCTCTATTATTACAAATAAAACCAAGCTATACAGAAGAATATAATTTCTGAGAGCGCTACAATGCACCTAGCATTGCCTGCTCTATTGCATTTCCTTTCTCATACATCTTAATCTTGAAAACCAAACTGTGGAACAAAATTTTGCTATGTTCTGATCCTGAATCATTTAAAAGAGGAACTTGATTACAGTGTCTTGTCTTACAAAGTGCTTGTGCAGCTAGTTGTGCTCCAGTTCATTACACTTCTTTCTCATTTTAAAATATTTTAAAACTCTTCTATTTCTCTATGAGTGTTTAGATTTAACATGTTCTCCAGAAATTTAGAAAAATGCTCTCCTTTATTGGACCATGGTACTTGAATTACCCTGGAGTATTATCACAACATATTTTGTTGGCAAAGGGGGTTCACCTTCAGTATATATAGATGTTATGCCAGGTGCTGATGAATTTCTTAAAAAGTCCAGTAAGTCTTTCTGTCACCAGTATGTCTAGAAGATTTCTAGTGATGTAACAAGGTAGCTAAGTCTGCAGAGGACACTTGACTCTTGTACCTATACTTAAAAGAAGTTCCTCAGCTTGGTTAAAAGCTATTTTCTGTGTCTTGACTTACCTGATCTCAGGACTCTCTTCTTTTTCTGTGTATTGTAGAAACTGTAGAAACTCAGACAAATCCCTGAGCAAACAGAGCTCTGAAAAATAAACCAAAAAAGACTGGTGAAGGTTTTACTAGTGCTTATCTAATAATCTGTATAATTTCTACAAAAAGTTTCTACAAAACCTGGGAACAGATAAAATGATAAAAACTTCAAGAAGCTCAAAATCTGAAATAAGCAATTAAAAATAGAATTATAAAATGATCTTAATAGCTTTTCATATGCAGAATATTAAGAGACTGGCATTGAATATACTTCCTACATGTAATCATGCCCAGTTTGCTAGTACACAGTGCTGGTTTACCTCAGGTGGGCAGAAGCCCTGTAATTTTAGGGGTTTTTATTTCAGTATGTCTTTTGTTTTGGATTTATTCTCTTTCCATTGAGGCATCTTCGAGAGTGTTAAAACTAAAATTCAAATTAAATTCTAGGAGTCAAATTTTTACCTTGGCTACAGTAAAACCCAGGTTTTAATCTGGGTCTTCTTTCTTCTTAAGACTTACCCAGAGTCTTATCTGCCCGTGGAGCCTTGCTGACTGAGCAAACCCATTCCCTAACCTAAGCCTAAGTCATTTGAGAGTAGCTGATGCTGTGCCATACTGAAGTGGTGTCAAGAGCCAATCTAAATTCCACTTGTCTTTAGTTTCAGAATGGCTGCGGTTATTGCCTTTCCTGGGTGTGCTGGCCTTGCTCGGTTACCTCGCTGTTCGTCCGTTCCTCCCCAAGAAGAAACAGCAGAAGGATAGCTTGATTAACCTCAAGATCCAGAAGGAAAATCCAAAAGTAGTGAATGAAATAAACATTGAAGATCTGTGCCTCACTAAAGCTTACTGCAGGTGTTGGCGTTCTAAGACGGTAAGACACTTTCTGCAACTGTAGGATTAGAGATTGAAACTTGCATATTTTTATCAGTGCTTGGGTGGTGAACTGCTACGTTTTGATCTGTTGCTTTTCTCTGGAGGTGGAACATATTCCTGGGTTTTGAGAATGGCAGAGTTCTTATTTTTCCACACTGTAAACCTGTCTACATGCAGAAAAAACCTGTAGAAACTTACAAGAAACACAGCAGGGTTTCTCTAGAAACATAGACTGACTGCCTTTGAGTAGATTAAAGCCAAGTAAGCCTTGTTCAGTATTTCAAAATACATTGCAACTAATTAGAAGATAACTATTTTGCAAAAACAATGCTTAGAAAGTTGTTGCTATTAAATAGGTGCTGATGCTATATATTAATAGCTGATGCTATTGACTATAAGGCTGGACCTGTGTTGGTGAGGGAGAGCATATGCCCATCTGGTCCAGAGCAGACAGTAGTGACTGGTGTGAGTAGTCTTTGTCCCCCAAATCAACTAGATGTACAAGTATTTTTCATCTACCCTCGATTTCTTTTGAACATCCTGACTGTGCTCTGGTTTTGTCCTCTCTGAACCAAATGCTTTCCTCTTAACAAAAGAATCTCCCTTGGACCGAAGAAACCCTCTCAAATGCTCTCACTTCAGACTAATCATTTCAGCAGAGTATTTCAGCTTTCCTTAAAACAGTACTTTCTGGTTGCAAATGATTATTAAGAACCCTTTTACTAGTTCCACAATAAACCTTAAACTGTTTGTGGCTGCGATGGCTGCTTTGCTTGCTGTTCATTCATGGGAAAGGCTTTGTCCCTAACTTTGTGTCTAAGAACAGCTATTTTAGGTCCTTACAAACTGTTACCTGTTAACAGTGGTTTTCCTCAGTAGCATGTGTCCTGTGTCTGATAGGAGACAGAGTTTGATGTTGAAACAGGACATAGATAATGTTGCTAGTTCCTCCTCCTAAGTGCTCTTGGCATAGGAAGAAGTATAAAAATCACCATGCAGTTGCTGTACGGAGTTATACTAATTCCTAATGTATGTTTTTTTCCAGTTCCCTGTCTGTGATGGTTCCCACAACAAGCACAATGAATTAACAGGAGATAATGTAGGTCCACTAATACTCAAGAAGAAAGAAGTATAACAGATGACTAATCCACTAGATCATGACTGATAAAAAGTCTTTTTATACTGTTGTAGTTGCAAGGGACAGCATTTTATTATGTGATTGGTATGATTTAGACTAATGATTGCTGTAGATTTCTGTTTGGAATTTGCACTTAGACAGTGCTAAATCTGTCACTGGTTTGATATTTTATTCTGAGAAGAATTAAGTCTGCTTTGGAAAACTGTAAAGTAACTGTCTCTGTAAATAAGTCGTTTATTTCAACAATAAAATGACTTCTTACAATTTAGCCTTTTTTGTGTGAACATGCAATTAAAACCTGTCACTATTTCCAAGTGAGACAAGTGTACCTTTCTGTTAATCGATTTTGTTCTGCTTTTCAGGAACAAATTTAAGTGCACTTAAGGCGGGG